ACACATAGACACGAACTGTTCCCAACTATTTGATATTTGATATATGGCAAGTAAAAAACATATTGCTATATTTTAATCGTTGAATGCCAATTTGTTGATATAGTTATGTTGATTACATTACCCAAATTTGAAATCGATCGGACAAAATTTATAACACAAACTATTCATTTGAAAAAGTGAATAAATATTAAAACCCCAATAATAAAATTAAATGCGATATATCGAAAATATCGATACTTGTGTTGATATATCGTAATACATGTCGAATACAAATACATCGAAAAACATCGTTTGAGAGTTATTGATTATAATACTGTATTCGATTGTACACTGTACACATACATACATACATACAAATTTATTTGTATGTGTACTGTAACTGTAAACTTTTGGCATTTTGCGTATATAATGAACAGGCGTAAATGATCAAAACGAAAGAAGATTTGCGAGCCAATAACTTGTTGTTGTTGTTGTTTTAAAAATTTTGATTTGAAACCATAGAAAACTATTTTTTACAATTAAACAACAGTGTTCGATAGCCCACTGCATACTTGTACATACAAACCTATATATGTATATAGGAATGTATGAACGTACATACATACTTATTGATGTACATACATACATATGTACATGCTATACATACAGACGTATGTACGTATGTAATACATATGGTGCTGGTGTAATTCATAATGCGAAATTCTTTCTAAGGGGAGCAATGTCCCCCCTGCCCAACCATCGTACGCCCTTGTAGTCCGTTGTCCTAAAAACCCCTTATGCCAAATGTACTAAACAAAGAAAAAATAACATAAAAATGTTTATGTTATAATGTTAATAATTTTTAATTAATTAACATTTTTTGCCCTGTCAGTGCAAGACGAATGTACTTTTATACATATGTATGTATGTATGTACATACATGTGTACAAATGAACATTCACACATTAGTGTCTCACATTTTGCTTTGGCTACTTCAACCGTTTGCACGCAACTACACGAACAGCTGCTTGTATGTATGTATGTGTGTGTGTGTATGTATACTTATTATTATTATTATTAACAGTTCGGCTGCAATGTAAAATGTACAGGCGAACAAATATTTAGCTATAGCTACGAGGCCTTAAGCTAGCATTAAATAACAGTTAAGGATATTTAAATTTGTTACATATAAATATATAGGACGGGGCTTAACTTATTGTATGTACAAATTATGTTATAGGGCCTTAAGGGTATTGCTATTGTTGAGGTATCGGATTATCGTTTCTATATTAAGGGGATTGAGATCAAAAAGGGATTGGACGGGGCTTATTGTGGGGAATAGAGAATTTCGTATAGGTTGTAAATGTGGGCATTCCGCCAGGATATGTTGAATGGTTATACGCTGGTTGGTGCACATAGGGCACAGGGGCGCTATGTGAGGACGATTAAAAAGGTAACTATGAGTGAGGTTGGTGTGGCCCAATCTTAAACGAATAATTTTCGAGAAAGTGGAGCGAGGAATTGAAAGCTTGGATTGATTTCGACCGTAGTCGTATATTGTATTCGCTTTTGTGTTGTTGGAATTGTAGTATGAGTTCGTTTGATGAAAAAGAGATATTTGTTCGGATTTGAAATGTTTTTTTATATGTTTTAGGATATCTGTGATATTAAAGTTATTGTGAAATGTGAGTGGGAGGAGAAAAGCGTCTTTGGCAGTCTTATCTGCATCTTCGTTGCCTTTTATCCCGCAGTGTCCAGGAATCCATATTAGTTTTAATTTTTTAATGTTTTTTAATAGTAATTGTCTTATGGCAGATGGGTAATATGAAGTATTGGTGGAATTGGAGATGGCGTTTATTGCTGAAAGGGAGTCAGTACAGATAGCTGTAGGATGAGGAGAGAGTTGCGATAAAAGTGTTGCTTTGTGGATGGCAATAATTTCGGCTGTATAGATGGAACTGTAGTAAGGTAATAGGTTTTGCTGGTGAGAATCATTAGCTACTATGCTAAAAGAAGCTGCACCGTTCATTTTGGAGCCGTCGGTATAAATGAATGAGTAAGATGAGTAGGTATTTTTCAGCTCTAGGAATTTTTGGTGGTAAACTTGTAACGGAGTAATGAGTTTGGGTAGTTGGTGTAGAGAGATGTCTATTGCGGAAGATACATCATTCCAGGGTGGAATAGGGTGTCTCTCTTGGGGAAAAGGTTTGAAGGGTAGACCAAGATCTAAAACTGATTTCAGGGCTCTATGTAGGGCGGATGGAATATTAGGGTTTGGCTTTCTTGATTTAAGTATTTTTTCTATTGTTGGTTTCAGTGGTGATCCGTTTGAAAGTAAAATTTGTCTAATAAGTTTGGCTGTGGAAAATTTTGTTCTGATATCTATTGGCATCATGTTGGCTTCGAAGAGGAGGTTGTATATGGGAGTGGAGCGGAAGGCACCAAGAGCAGATCTTATTGCGGAATGGTAAATTGTTTTAATTGGCTTTAAATAGGAAGCAGGGGAGTTTCCGTAAAGAAATATACCGAAATCTATCTTTGACATTATTAGGGAATTAATAGTGTGAATAACGCTGAGCTGGCTGCAGTTGTATTTATTGTTGGAAATGCATTTTATAATGTTAAGCTGTGTTGAAATTGAAGCGGTTAGGTTAGATATATGGTCCAGCCAGTTAAATCTTTTGTTAAATGTAATTCCTAGTATTTTTAATTTGTCTGTATTTTCTATAGGGGTAAGAGTGGTAGAAAGTTTGATTTGGCAGGAGTGCTTTTTGCAAATATGGAGGTGCTTGCATTTAGAGAGCGAGAGTTTGGCCCCTGAATGCTCGCACCAGGAGAGAATGTCGGTGAGTAAAGGGTCTATGTCTATTTGAGAGCTATTGTTTAATTTTTTAAATATATGGTAGTCATCGGCGTACGCACAAAAGTTAAATTGCTTGTGTTTATTAATTATGGAGTTAAGTTTGTTGAAGGCGATGATAAATAGGATAACTGACAGGGGTGATCCCTGAGGGATGCCGTTGTGTTGGGGAAGGGTTGAGGAAAAGTGGTAGTTGGCATAAACTTTAATTTTTCTGTTGGTCATAAAGTTAACGCAGTATTGGATTATTTTAGGACCTATTTTCCACGAACGCAACTCGTCTATTATTGAATGGATGCCAATTTTATCAAATGCTTTGGTAAAGTCGAGTGATATAATTGAGGCATGGTTTTTTGTAGATAGAGAGGACGAAATCAAGTGGTCTAAAACTAGTAGACTGTCCGAAATCGACCTTCCTTTTCTGAAACCTGTTTGACGGCTATCAATTGATTTATTATGGGAAACAAACCACCATAGCCGGTTGGCGATAATTTTGTCCAGGGTTTTGGCAACGCACGAGTTAAGGGATATGGGACGGTAAGAGTTGAGGGAAGTTTTATCGGAATGTGGCTTGTTTAGGGGAATTATTTTACTCAGCTTGTAGTGCTGAGGTATGTGGCTATTGAAGATGTTATTAAAGTGGTCCACTAAACGGAGCTTTACTGAGGGATGGAGGTTTTTCAGCATGGCGTAAGATATACGATCCAGGCCTGGGGATTTTCCTTTTAATTTTGAAAGAACTATGTTAAGCTCGAGAGTGGAAATAGGTGACTCTATTTTTAAGGCAGAGGCGGACGGCCGGTACTTGGGAGGGGCTAGTAGGGAGCTGTTTTTCAGAGTAATAAAGGTGTTGGAGAAGTTTTCATCACTGGATTCGGCAGACCAGAAGGTACACAGTTCATTGGCTATGGCTAAGTTGTCTGTAATATTGACTTGGGAATCTGATTTGGTAATGCAGTGGATTGAAAGACTTGGTTTTAGACCACAGAAAGAGCGTAGGTTGCTCCAAATCCTAGAGGAAGAAGAGCCGGGGTTGATTTCGGCGGTAAAGGATTCAAGGGATGTGCGTTTTGCTATTTTTACTTCTCGTTTGAATAGTGCATTTGCTTTTTTATAATTAATTATGTTAGTAGTAGATATGTTTCGTCTTAGTGTTAAAAAAAGGGAATTTTTAGATTGTTTTAATTTTTGAAGGTTTTTGTTCCACCAAGGGACCTGGTGTTTTATATTATGTTGGTAAGTGGACTGTGGGATGGAACAGTTCGCACTTTGGTGAATGATTTTTTGAATGTTTGCTGATTCCTTGTTCAGATTTTTACTTTTAGGGCGTTGGTGGTGAAAATGGTAGCTAGCGTCTTGAAATCTTGGCCAGTTTGCCTTATCTAGTTTGAATTTGGGAGTTATTATTGGGGTTGAGTTGGTTTCGAATAGGGATGTGATAATTGGGAAGTGGTCACTGCAGAAGGTATCGGATTCGGTGTGCCATGAGGAATGAAGAGCGAGAATTGGGGTGGCGAAAGTGAGATCAACATGGGTCAGGGTGCTATGTGTACTGAAATGGGTAGGAGAGCCATCGTTTAGTAGGATTAGCGGTGATTGTTGTATAAATTGGGCTATGATGTGTCCCTTCTTATTATTACGGGGCGATCCCCATAGCATATGCCAGCTATTGAAATCACCGGTGATAAGGGTGGGAGTGTCTATGTTGCTGAAGACATTTTCTAGGTTATTGATGGTAATCTTATGATTGGGGGGGATATATGAGCATATAATATTGAAGGTTAATTTAGAGTGGATTTTGATGCAAACGGAATCGAAGTCTTGTTGAAGGTGTATCTCAGTATGATGAATGGATTTGTGTACAAGAATAGCGACACCGCCTGACGCGTTGCCAGCAGAGTTGATATTGTATATAAGGTAGTTGATTGGGATAGGGAAGTTTCTTAGCGTATTTAGGTGGGTCTCTTGAAGAGATATAATTTTTGGGGAGAATTTTCTTATCAAAAGCTGCAATTGGTTGTAGTTATTTAGGTATCCATTAAGATTCCATTGGAGTACTTTCAACATTTTGTTGTTATATTTATATTTATATTTAAATACATATATATATATATATATATATATATATATATATATATATATATATATATATGTATTTAAATTAAATGATAGTGTTGTGGTAGCACTGGTGTTGTTAAGTTTTTGAATTTAAAAGTTTCGGGTCAAGTTTTTCTTTAGATTTTAGGGGCTTGGTAAGAGTATTCTGCTTAGCGTGAAAAATTCGGAGCTTGGGGTCGTCTTGAGGGTGTTGGTGATTAGGCTGGTCTTGCATCAGTGGTGTGGTGTCCATATCGATATCGGCGTAAGATGTGATGATTCTTTTTAGATTTGGTTGGTGAGTGGTATTGATTGTAGGCGTGGTGCTGAGGTTATTAATGGTATTGTGTGCGGGTTTCGATGTGCTAGATGAGGTGTTCGGCTGCGCTGGAGATGTCTGTTTCGGAGAATTGGCTACTATTTTGGAGTAGGTTGTGGTTGAAAGTGGGTGACGTGCGTTATATATTTGTAGAGCTGATTTGTGGTCTACTTTATGAATTGTTTTAATTGCTGTCAACTCTTTTTGTTTCAAAAATATAGGACAGTTTTTATCCATGGGTGAGTGGTTGTTTTCAATTTCGTTTTTGCAGTTGATGCAGAATTTGGTTCTGTTGCAGGTCTCGTCCTCCTTAGTGTGTTCCTCTTGACAGCAGTTGCGGCATGTTTTGAAAGTCTGTTTGCAGGCGCTGGTTGGATGTCCAAATCGTAGACATTGTTGGCATCTTAGTGGGCGTGGCACATATGGTCGTACGGTGACTTGCTCGTAGCCAATCATTATTTTTTCGGGGAGAGTAAGGGAAGCAAAGGTCAAAGTAATGAGTCCGGATTCCTTAAGAGAGTTGTTGACTTTTTGGTAAATTTTGTGTACATCGATCACATTTTGTGGCTTAAGCTCTTCTTTAATTTCGGTTTCGCTGATGGTACGAAGCTCATTTGAGTAAATTACTCCCTTTGTTGAGTTGAGAGTCTTATGTTCACTTGCTGTGACGGGAAAGTTGTGAAAAGTTTTTAGTTTAAGGAGTTTTAGGGCTTGTAGGTAAGTTTTTGTTTGGATAAGTAGAGAGCCAGCTCTTGTTTTTTTACAACTCTCGACTTCACCATTGCAGGTGTGGTCGATTACTTTTTTAATTATAAATGGATTCACATTATCAAAGTTACTGTCGTCATCTCTAGTAATTAGTAGGTATTTGCCGTCGTTATTCTTATTGTTTGTTTTTACACCGTAGTGTTGACTTAAATCGGGGGGGCGATTCATTTTTTTTTTTTTTTATATATGTAGGGCGGGGCCCTTTAGAGATAAGGTATTAACTGCACTATTGTAGAGTTGTTTTTGTCTTTGCGAATTTTACTTTGAATAGTGGTTTGTTTTGAGTTATTGTTGTTGTTGTTTTAATAGAAAGATAAGCACTTGTGCACAGATCGCTAGTCTCACGTCTTATCTCTTCGAGGTTTAAGGTGATACTGTATGTATACTTAGTTGTCCCCAACTGTTTGATATTTTGTATTGTTTGTTCTGCCTGCTTTTGTAAAATGCATATTTTACAAATCGTTAAATGCAAAGTTGTAATTTTAGTTACGTAGATTATATTACCCAAATTTGAAATCGATCTGACAAAATTTATAACACAAACTTTTCATTTGAAAAAATGAATAAATATTAAAACCCCAATAATTCAAGCTCCAACACAAATTTCGAACCGAGTATGCAGTTTTGTTTGTATTCTTTTATAGATTATAAAAACCGAATTTAAAGTTGATCGATTCAGAAATGCAGAATTTTCAAACAAACTTTGGAGCTACTTTTCCCCCCTTTGGAGCTCGAATTTTCCAAAATCCCTTCTTAGTGCGCATCTACACCATGATAGGATACTTGAGCCCAAATTTCAGTTTCCTAGCTTTTACCGTTTGGGCTGTGGGGTGTTGATTGTGTTTCAATTTTTCCACGGAAAACCCCCCTTTTTCATGCCCCAGGAAAAATGGTGAAAAACAAAGTATACAGTTTTTCTTGTATTCTTTTTGAGAGTGTACAAACTAAGTTTAAAGTTAATTGGATGAAAATTGTAGATTTTTCATACAAACGTTGGAGTCCGTTTTCCCCCCTTTGGCGTTCGAATTTTCCAAAACCGCTTCTTAGTGCTCACCTACACTACTGAAGACAACATGTGTCCAATTTTCAGCCTCCTAGCTCTTACCGTTTGGGCTGTGCGTTGATTGCAGATAGCTTTTCGTTTACCGAATTTTCCACCGGAAAATCATTATTATTCAGGCCGCAGGAAAAATATTGAAAATCCAAGTATACAGTTTTTTTTGTATTCTTTGTGAGAGTATACAAACTAAGTTTGAAGTTAATCGGATAAAAATTGTAGATTTTTCATACAAACGTTGGAGCTCGTTTTCCCCCCTTTGGAGCTCGAATTTTCCGAAACCCCTTCTTAGTGCTCACTTTCACTATAAGAGGGATCTTGTGTCCAAATTTCAGCTTCCTAGCTCTTACCGTTAGGGCTGTGCGTTGATTGCCAATCAGTCAGTCAGTCAGTCAGGACAAACTGTTTTATATATATAGAGATGTTAATGTTTGCTTAACAATATGTTAAAGACTACAAACTGTTCCCTTCGTTTTCATTCGTCTTCTTCGTTATCCTCTCTTGTGGTAAGTGCTTCCAACTCACCCACGCTGAATACGCTTGTTCGAATACAACTGCCCCCGCCGCCAAGTTTCTGCTCTCTTCGATTTTAAGGCTTCCGTCCTCTTGCTTGCGTTGCCTGTATACACACAAGTCGTCGAGTCTCTCTCAGTAACGGTAAATATTTCTCCTTTATCGCCTTCTTCGTTTCCGTTTGATTCGGTTCCTCGTCAATTCTGTTTCGTGAAATTTCACAATGTCGCCAGAGATTTCCAGAAATTACCAGACGTTGGTAGTTGCTATCTTGCTCTATTAAATGTTGTTGAATTACATTTTTACATACTTTCAGCAACAAATTCGAAATTTTAAACTTTTAAATTTACAGCAGCTCACATCTACTACAGCAGCGTATGAATTACACATATGTATTTTATCACACTTGTTATTAAGAATTAATTCAAGCCCCTAAAATGTGGTCTCCAAAATTTCGTAGTGATGAAATAACCAAGAGACAACGTTGCGTTATTATGTTTAATAGTTTTTATACTCTGTACTTGAAATGTATCAGAGTATATTAGGTTTGCGCGAGCTGAAAAATGAAACAGGCAGAAGGATGCGTGGCAGATCCCACAAAGTATATATATTCTATATCAGCATGACAAGACGAGTCGATCTAGCCACGTCCGTCTGTCTGTCCGCCCGTCCGTATGAACACCTGGACTCAGAGATAGACACCAATGTGAATACGCTGAAAATGTATACTTTGGAATTTCCCTCCCTCCCCCTTGTACTCCGCAACCACTAATTGAAATTCGAAAAATACCTCCAGCTGGTGATTCGTATGCCAAGTTTCATAATGATACGCCGATTTAACAAGAAGTTATAGTCATAAATATATTTGCTGCTCCAGCGCTGCTCAATCGTTGCCCAAGCGCTGCCCGCAGCTGTTGTTGGTGCTGATGCTTTGGTTGACTGCAAACATGCTGACACTGACACGAATAAACACGCATATAAGTACATACACTCACATGGACGCATATGCTACGTAAATGTGCAATTATACACCCTTTACGTGAGTTCGAATACCAAGAGAGGTAAAATCGATCAAATTTTTTTTTTAATTCTCTTAATTTTTTTAATTTATATAATTATTCTAAACATATGTACAGAGTACTTCAAAGTCGGGACACCCGGCATAACGGATGACTAACATACATCCGAACATCATCCGCATTCATGTGTAACTCGGAATTTGACACAGAACATTGACATAAATTGATAACAATAGTGGTCCTAAGACAGATCCCTGGAGGACTCCACGCTTTATTAACAAAATAAATGAAAACCCAGAAAGGAATGCTAAAGTCGAGCCAGCTCAACTCTTAAATACCCAGTACCTCCCACCAAAAACGAAAATATAAAAAAATTATATTAATTAAATTAAATGAAAATTATTTAATACATATATACAAAAGTGGAGACATGTTCATGTAGAGTTTCAACAGCATACATTTACATCAGAATCGTGTCTCTGTATGCTTATATGTATGTAGCACAAAGTTGAACCAAAGCAGCAACAACAACAGCTGCAGGCAGAGCATGGGCAGCGTATTTATTTATGACTATAACATTCTTCAGAATTGACCTATCATGATGAAACTTGGCATACGGATAGATAACAACAAACTAGTTCCAAGAATTACGGGAGTTATGAAAAACACGAATTGTGGGGGAGTGGGGGGTGTATCAGAATAAAAAATAAAACCTGACCTGCCTAGGGCTCAGGGGAACCTGGATACCAAGTTTGGTAATTCTAGCTCTTGTACCTTCTGAGATCCTTGCGCTCATACAGACGGACGGACAGACAGACGGGCATGGCTATATCGACTCGGCTGGTCACCCTGATCAAGAATATATATACTTTGTGGGGTCTGCCACGCCTCCTTCTGCCTGCTACATACATACGCACAAAACTAGTATAGCCTTTTACCCTTTGGGTATAGTTTATAATTATGCGATGTGACTACTGCGTTTTAAAACCGGAGCGGCAGCCTGTTAAGATTCGGAAGGAAATTTGGTGGTGGGCGGGAAAGCGCACTGGCGAAGATGTGAACAATACCGTCGACAGAGATAACCCCACAGAACCGTTCGCAGACGGTGGTACTGTACCGTCAGCCAGCCATGGCGAAGACGGAACAGGAATCCAGCGGCTCAAAAACAACAAATCTGCTGGAGCAGATGGGTTGCCTGCGGAGCTGTTGAAGGCAGGCGGCGATGAGTTGGTAGGGTGCACCAGTTCATTTGCAAAATATGGCTAACTGAAAGCATGCCTAATGATTGGACCCACGGTATTTTAGGGACTTGAAGAAGGGTGAAGCTAAGGTATGTACCAACTATCGTGGAATTAGTCTTCTTTCCGTCGCATATTGCCTATATTGCCAGTAAATCGACGGCTAGTGTATCTATTTCGAAGTTCGGTTTTGCTGAGCCCCATGAAATAGCCTCGTTTAAAATAAGTGTTCCACCTGGGGCTTTTACAATTATATGTGATTCAAAATTTTGGCCTCCACATATGATTGTTCATGAGTTTAGGCAGAAAAAACGATTTTCGTCACTGCCTGTTGATTTACAGTCTAGTACTCTTTCTTCGAAACCAACGTCAAGTTTGGCTTCACAAAACTAGACTCGCGACCTTTTTCACTTAATATTCTGTATCAGAATGTTAGGGGTCTTTTGTCCAAGCTCGGGAATTTATTTCCGATCAGTTTTTCTTTTGATTCTAATATTATTGCGTTTTCAAAAACGTGGTTAAATCCTACGACTTCTGATAATGAAATTTTATGAGGCGACTTTTGTATCTTTTGTCATGATCGTCCGAGTCGTCGAGGCGGAGGGGTACTGATTGCAGTCAAATCCAACCTTCGGTCCGAAATCATTGATGGTGATGTGCCAAATGATGTTGAATTTGTTGCTGTTAAAGTAACTTTTCCGTCTTTTGCTCTTTACATCACTTGCTCTTATATACCTCCCTCTTCCGATATTCAGGTTTATATATAATATATATATATCCAATTATTTGGTGCCCTCAGCAGAGCATGAATTTTTGGATTGCCTGTTGGACCTTTCTTTGTTTCAAATTAATTCTATACCTAATCACCTAAGCAAAATGCTTGATCTCGTCTATGTCACTGACCTATCTCTAGGTCTTCACTCCTGTCAGTGCCTGAATATACTTACCACCCTACTTTAGAAATCTCCCTATAATTTTCAAATCACACCTTTATTCCTACACTTAATTCTAATAAAACACGTCGTTGCTTTCGCAAAGGAAATTTTTCTTTGCTTAACGAACTTATT